AAAAAAAAAAAAAAAGCAAACTAATAATTACTTAAACATGCAAACAAAACACCCGAAAACTTTAGAAAACGAACAAACAAATAATGAATTATCAAGCAACATAAAAACAAACAATGTCGAAAAAGGCTCCAAATATTTTTTTTAATTATTCAAATATTATTGGATTCGGCTTGCCGCCCAGTCATCAAAAAACTTTAATTTATTATAATTATCCTCAAAAAGAGACAACGTTAGAAATAAAGGTTTTCTGTTATAGCATAATATGAATATCAAAGGTCATAAACATTCCACAAAATAGTGGAATATTCACGAAGAATCGCTTCAAAATATATTAAAAGCAAACAATATATCGGTGATCAAACGAAATTACCGATAGAATACGCTTTGGTCTGTGAAGAATCGCTCAAAAATATTGCAATTGTCACTAAAACACGTAATTTTTGAGATTCATGTGAATACCAAGACAACAAATTGCATCTTTTAAGAATTAAGTTACGTTTTTATTAGTATATTATCAAGAAAATACGTTTCTTTCAAAATAAACAGGTATCTATAGCAACCAAGGAGTCCCGAAACAATGGTATTAGACGTCGAGTTCTAATTGGTTAAAAAAAACCAGCCCCCCAACAGAACAAGAACTCATTTGAATTCAGATAAAGAGTCCGAAAATCAATAACTTATTTCCGAAATATAAAATTCTAAACTGCAAACGAAGGTCTTGGTATTCGACTGATCTTTTTATTATTTGTTTGATTCGCTTAATAAGCTCAAACAAAATATATTCATTAATTATTGATTGGAAGGAAAATTTGAGTCACTAGTCGCTAGTTTCTGCTGCGATGGAACATTTCTCCCGTTTCCTACCGTAAGTATTATCTATAGATTTATTGTTTTGTTACTGCAGAAAATCAAGCCCAAAAATGATATCTTTAGCGTAGTAAAAATAGGACGGAAGTTTCGTTATGTTGAATCTTGCTTTGCAAGGCTTTACAGTCCAAGAAATTCTGCTCGTTTTCTATATTAAGCGAGTTTACAATGTTTGTTTTGTGCCTACTTCACATAGGATAAAGCTTTAAATTCAAATTTATATCTATCTAATGGGATGGTTTCCGGTTTTCACAGGTTTCTGTAGTATAGATTCGGTTATCAAAACATTTAACAGAAAAATACGTAAAACGAAAATTAGATGGCGAAAAAACGCTATCGAAAAGGAAAAAAAAGACAAATTAGAATGGCTTTGGAAATGCAAATGATATGGCTTCATTAGCTGGAAAAATATTAAAAATCGGTCATTTTGGCGTCTGTGAATTAATTTTTGTTATATAATTTAAACTAACTTCTCAAAATTTTCCAGCTGTTTTTGAGCAAGAATACCCAACGCAAAAAATAAATATTCAAACAGGTACTGTAACGCAAAAGAAAAATTATTTTTAATAGAAAAAAGCGATAATGGAAAGTATTGAATAAATGTCGATTCTCAAATTTACCAAACTTGAAGGATTTGAAGGGCCAAAATTTAATATTCGTTGATTCGTTCGATGATTGGTGACAATTCTCGTCAAGATACTTCAAAATTTAATTTTTATTGATGTATTCCTTTTGAAAACGTTTAAGAAGATTTTCAAATGTCTAAAATTGAAGATTAATAATGGTCAAGGTTATTTGGAATTCGAGAAAACAGTCTTAATAGTTACTTTTATTATTGAATAAGTGAAGGGAAAAACCTGCTGAATTCGTTTAATTTTTTGAACAATTTTTATCTAAACATTTTTTTTTTAAACATCCTTTCCCAATTCCTTTTTTAACGAAAAAACTTTACTCTTATTTGATTTTCATAATTCGAAAAGCTATATAAGTATTTATTAATGAACTTGTAATAAATACGGATTATAATACTTATAAATAATAATAACAATCGTCTACCTCTATAAGATGTTTATCGTATATTTATAATAATATAATATTAAGTAAAAAACTATATATATATATATATCCATAGTTCATCTATCAATTAACAACAACAGATTGTTAAATCTTGAGAAGTTGTCCTGCAGCGGCAACAACAACGGATTAGAAAGTTACGTGTTATTTCTTTTATTTCATGACAAGAAGAACTTCAAAAATAAATAAATAAATAAGCACAAACAACGCAACAACAACAAACAAATAAAACGACAACTATTTTAAGTTCTTTATGTTAGGTTAGTTAATATAAGTATTTAAACAGTGAAGATATCGATTTTTATGTAATATCAGTGCTTTTACTAGTGTTCCACAACAATTTTCTTATTAATATCCGAAGTTAACAATTAACAACATATCAACAATTATTATTATTATTATTGTCATAAGACGTAACACTGTTTATTTGTACTTTTAATGAAAAATATCAATAAACATAAGTTCGTTAGATCTCAGCCAGCATCCTCTGATATAAATAAATATTAATATTATTCACAATTTTTCAATAATTAGAAATCAACGAGAAAAATTCTAGATCCTCTAATAATTTCTTTGATATTACACTAGATATTTTTTATTTAAAAAAAAAAAACATATCAAACTTGGCAAATTAAAAAACAAAACAACATTGTAGTGTTGGCACAAAGTGGGAAAATCATGTGGTACACCATTTCATTCATAATAAGCGTATTTTGGCAACTCACATATCTGCTTCATACGTGAAGACGAGTATCATCATCTTTTTCAGTAGAAACTCAAACGTAAACACGAATAATTGGCGCCTTTTTTCTGTTCCATGAGCATATGTGATGACAATAACCATTGGCTAAAAGCGTTTTTTCTTTAGGAACGCTGTCGGGGGCAAGGGTGAGCCGCCTCTGTTGAAAGCAATCATGTCGTGAAGCGTCCGTAGCGTGGCCGATGCTCAAGCCGTCAAATAATAAACCTTTTGATTAGAATAGTTTTTGTTTTGTAGACTTTCTTAGGAATTCTTAGGGGCTTTAGAAATATAAGTATGAAGAAGACCAAATATAAGACAAAAGTTGAAGCTCCAGATGGCAGAAACTTGCATTTCCATGTGTGAGTTAGCCATGCCCAGACTTAGATGTGCTAGATGTGCCCTGACTTTGATCAGCCCAGAGGTTGTTTCAGGGTTCTATCTGTAAGTTAGCCATGCCCTGACTTAGACCAGCCCAGAGGTTGTTTCAGGGTTCTATCTGTAAGTTAGCCATTTCCCGACTTAGATCAGCCCAGAGGTTGTTTCAGGGTTCTATCTGTGAGTTAGCCACGCCCTGACGTAGATCGCATGCACTGGAGTTTTAAGAGTCGTCCATTAGTAATAATATGTGCGGTAAATACTTTCTTCTTTTTACTTATCACTAGGAAACGCATTGCGCACGCAACGCACATAATAAGGAAGTCTTGAGATTAATAAGTCTATGGACAAGAAGTCTGCCTTCTTGCTTCTTAAAAGCCAACACTTTTAATCATAGATTACTGAAGGATTTCAAATTACAGTCTGGTATACGATATGTGTTTTTTTGGCGTGCTTTTTCGGGTTTTCAAAAACTCTGAAGCTTTAGGGTAAGTGGTACACTCAAGCATGAATAAATATAGACCACAAATAAGGAAAACAAATAGAAACGGGTAGAAAGCAAAACGTCAGGTTTAGTACAAAACGCGGGAGGAAAACCAAGAGAAAGCCATATGGAAGCCACTTGGGTAATCAAAGTTTCAATTCTCTTTCATATAAACCTATAGATTTTTGGCGCGTCGAAATAATGTTCTGTATGAGTACAACAACGAATACCTCATCAGTCTTGTGTGTTTTTTTCTTGTTTTTCGCACACTTATAAATGCTCATAACTTTGTATAGCTTTTCCTTAATACTCGACCGGGAAACTGCGCAGATTTATAGCTTATTATCTTTCAATGACAACCCAATAGTTCTGTAAATCGTTATGCATATAATTTAGGAAATTATGGACAGACCATTTGCGTAATTTCTCTTGTTTGCACACATTTATTTTGCACAACGCAAGAGATCAACTTGAATTTAGCCTTCGGCGATGAGGCGGGGCATATATATCAGACAAATTTAAAACCAAATGGAAAATAAGTTGTTCGCAACAACATCTCCCAATCAACCATAACTAGAAACTGCGCACTTTTCGTGGATTCGATGCTCGGACCTGCTAACGTGTATGAATAGAGTTGTTTGTTGACTCTCTCCTGTGCAGTATTTGAGTAAGCCTTTAATTACCAATTATGAATAATTTAGACAACTTAATGGATTACTTCAAACAGCAATAATTTTGACAAACGTCACTACATATTTCTTCTCGAAGTTTGATAAAACTACGCGTGGTTTCAGTCATTTTTTAAAAATTATTCACTGGAAATATTGCCAAATTAAAAAGAAGT